CACTCCCCCCCACCCCGGGTTAGCTGTGTATTTCTGTCTAGGTATTACTCAACATTATTTTGTTTTACTGTGAACTTTTTAAACTATCCTAAACGGATGCAAGACTTAGGCACTATACTGAACAGATTAGCATTCCCAAAACTATCACTTGGATGTGCATTTCAATGATATTATCAAATCTATACTTCCACAGGGCTCCGTATCTTGTTAGGGGTTAGAATGAAAGAGTTACTTTTAATGTCCTTCTCATACATCTTAAGCAAGGGTAAAGATTTTTATTTAAACTTCAGACTGGCAAAAAGAAAGGAGAATCTGAATGCACTGAGTTTGTGCCACTTGCAAAGGCTAGCTCAGCACTTTTTCTGTTACTTCAAAAATAAGTCAGGTTTTAAGTTGCATTTTTTTCTTTTCTGTGTCTACTGCAAGTTTCTTTCTACGGGAAAATATCCAATGGCCTATGTTCTCACACAGATCTCAGGTAAGCTACTCAACTGACATGTCTGACACAGGGTCAAAAGATGAAAACTGTCTTCTGGTTTAACTGCATCATGTTACACTGTGCACTCTGGAAGAGTGTGGGCTAATTGCATGTCCTCCTGGAACGATTTCCTGGAGGCATGCCACTGAAACCAGGAAAGCTTGTGTTCTCCTGAGAATAAGGCAACCTGATGGCGTCATGGACTTTATACACCATTAACTGTGTACTGAAAATATTTTTTTTTTCCTTTGGGTAAAAACAACTCTTCAAACTTCTACTGTTAACAACAACAAAAAAAAGTTCTTAATGGGTCTCAGCATCAACCATAGAAAATGATAAACATATAAAGAAAAAGATAAGGACAATAAAGTGCATTTATAGACATGAACTGACTTTTTCTTTTTTTTTTTTCCTTCATCCTGTATCTTTAAGTTCTTTTTTCCCTATCACTGACTGCTTTCATCTACTCATCTTTTGACATTTATTTATTTTAAAAATAATTTCTTTGCATTTCTGTTCTTATTCGTTCTTTTTTCTCTCATCATCACTCTCTCTATGATTGTGAGGTCTTCTAAGTTGCTCTGCTCCTTTGCTACTAATGCTCTCTAGGGAAAGTCCACTCCAGGAGTTTTTCTTTATGTTCTAAAACATGTGAAACTTGTATGTGAATTTTATTAGTTATTTCAATATTCGTCAAAACAGTGCAACTTTTAAGATGACAGATTGTTCCAAAACACTCCTATGTATGTTAATATTTAAGCCAGTATGATGTAGAACTGTGATACGGCTTTTAAGATGACAGATTGTTCCAAAACACTCATAGAAGACATGTATGTTAATATTTAAGCCAGTATGATGTAGAACTGTGATACGGAACTGTGCCTAAGAACAGTTAGTTCAGTCAAATCACTTGTAGTATAATTCACAGAATCACAGAATGTTGGGGATTGGAAGGGACCTCGAAAGATCATCTAGCCCAGTCCCTCTGCCAAAGCAGGAACCTAAACAAAATTACACAGGAAGGTGTCGAGGAGGGTCTTGAATGTCTCCAGAGAAGGAGACATTCAAGACCCTCCTCGGGCAGCCTGTTCCAGTGCTCCGTCACCCTCACCGTAAAGTAATTAGTTCACTTTAATCAGAAACTAGTTGTTTACATAACAGTATGAAATTTAATAATTTCTTTTGTCACTTATTAGTATCTAACAGAAAGAAAATATGAAGGTTTTAATCTCTGAGATTTTATTGACTGACCAGAGGCAGAGTCAGAATAGTATTATTTCATTTGTATTTCTGCAGTGCTAAAACACTCAGCTGAAGATTAGTGCCTCATTATGGTACCTATTGTACAAACACTTTTGAAGATATAAACTTTTGTTCTAGGACACTATGATGCAAATGAGTAAACATTAATTAATCACATTTCACTTACTCAAGTCCTTGCCATGCTATGTCTAGTGCCTCCTTCCTTGTTGTTGCTATCGTTCTGAAGCAGAGAACAATCCTTGATTTCTTGTTGTAAAAGATTCCTTTAATATTACTGAATTTTATATTGACCCTATAGTGACTTCCAAAGAAGAGATGGACTAACTTTATTTTTCACAGAAGAAGCTATCAAAATTGGAAAAAAAAAAAAGTGATATTCTGCTTACTGCCTGTGATTGAGAGATAATTTGGAGAAGGAATGGAACCTAAATATGTTGACTGATGCAACTGAAAAAATATTGAAGGCAAATCTGTAGGGTTAAGGGGTTAGTAGTGTTGCCCAATATATACTACGTAGCAGTGATACTACCAGCTGAGCTAAGGCTGGAGGATGTAAGCAATTTGTGAGCAGAAGTTATCGAATATGCTAAAGCAGCTACCAGCCCCATGGCTTCCCGATGGGTGACCAGGACTCATAGATGTTAAGAGAATACAAACAACAAGTAACTTGAAGAAAAGCAATTATTTTCTTCTCTTGTGTTTTTCAATTAACAATGCTCATTCATTACTCATAAGAAACACATACCACCTATGGGATTCAGAGGAAGTCCTGTGGAGCTGGGGGCTCCGAAACTGAACTCCATCCATCATTTCAGGGCTACAGAGAGGCCCAGACACAATGGTAGAGATCCTGCAGCAACTGTCTGTCGGCAGGAAGCCAACACCGTGCTATAGTGTATTCACAAACTTCAGGGCAGTCATGCACCCGGATCTTCCTTCCTTGCATTTACATAATTTCTTACGTAACAAAGATAAAGGTGAGGGTCAGATGAGGAGCAAAACTGCTAGCAGAAGAAAACTAGAGGGAAACTTCATTCCACTGAATAACTTCCACTATAATGGAAGTTATTATCAGTGGAATGGAAGTATATCAGTGACTCAAAGAAAGGGTAAGTAGGAGTTTACAAATATAATAGGTACATGGATCAATTTATTCTAATTCAAGGAAGAGAACTGTTAATTGAGAAACTATCTGAAAGTGAACCTTCTAAAACTTTTCTACCAACAGGTTCTTTTACAAAAGAACAAAACCTCCTCCAGATAAAGCTTATTTAGTGCTTTCTTTCATATTGTCCTTGGAAATGAATGCTTCATAAATAAGTCTCCCAGACACGTAGCATGCCAGTTATAGAAGAAATTTAGTATCTTGCCCAAGAAAATGGAAGCCTTTGGGTTCCGGCATTATGGATGAGGTATAATTAGGTGATGATCTTAGAGGAATTTCCTCTGTAACTGAGATGAGTTTTCTTGACCAGAAAGTTTTTCCAGAGATACAAAGTTTTCGTTGTAACAGCAGCTCTGTGGGTTTTGAACAAATTGATTAATTATTTCTAAACCTTGTCCTGTGAAAGTACTGATGACTAAGAAGAAGCGTTGAAAGCTGATTAAATGTGACAGTTGGTAGTATTCAGATAGGGACATTTAAATAGTCTTCACAGGAGCTTTTGCTTTTATTTTTTTTTTTTTAATATCTGCAGTGAAACTTTTTAGTAATTTCTATGATGGTAGTACTTGGAAGCTGGAACTGCCCTGCACTGCTCTAAGAAGTAGTGTTTCACCTGCACATGACAAATGAGATCAATAAAAGCTATTTCCTGTCTCAGTTCCAAAAATTATAAATTCACCTAACAACAGCAAAATCCCCCCTCTTGTTCAACTAAGGCCTATGTTCTTATGCAAAGGCTGTACCTGAGCCAGTGCTTCATGAGGTCTGTCATTTTCTAAATGCACAGTAGAGATTTCTTGTCAGCTCATCTAATTCTTGTGTATATCTGGTTCAGTAAGTAGAGAACTAAGAACTGTATTCCTTAAATGAACTAGCTTAAAGAAACAATTACAAAATTATTTTCTTACTTTTGATAACTCCCATGGTTTAGTTACCTACAGCATTCTTCACTGTCAATTAGGAGATGACATTCAGTTTAATTCACCACATAGTCTTTTGTGCACAATCTACTATATTTTCCTCTGGAGAAACTGGTACAGTTTTTGCCACAGATGGATTAGTGTATCTTTTAGTTAAATTGCCATTTGTATATCATTTTAGTTAAGTAAGGTATTATAAGGGCTACTGAAGTGAAGTAACAGCATTTGTACACTCATTTAAAAAAATCTGTTTTCAGGTATGCTCCCTCATTTTCAGTAAGCTAGGATCTAGAGCGAAAACTTGGTACGTTATCAGCATGTTTTTCAGCAGAGAAGTGCAAATAAGGGGCATTCAGATGTTGAACTGGAAACAATCTGTTTTGCACTGAATTTGATGAATCATTTAATGTCCCAAAGAACACACACACACCCCTAATACCTGTCACGTATGCTCTTAGTTCCTGGCAGTAACAGGGTAGGAATACCTACTGCCAGGAAATGACCAACTTGCCATCCTGCTTTGATTCTGCAAATCCTTATCAAGATAGCGTATCCAAAGCCATGCTTGTTTTTGACCCCCCACTGCTAATTTCTATGCATTTGTTTCCAAAGCTTCCTAATTCTTACCAGCTGGCAGGTATAAATCCCATCCCAGTAATGAGCTGGCTTGTTTCTGTGTACAGAGCACTGATTGAGAGCTTCCTCACAAATATCTATACACACAACTTGTGATCTAAGCCTACTGTGATTACCTACAGGCTTTGTGAAACCTACTTGAAAAGGAGAAGTCAAAAGTAAGAGATTCAATTGGAGAATATAAGAGCTTACAAAGAAATTGTCATGTTCATATGAACAATTCACATTTACTTTTAAGAATACAGTACTCTGAAAAGACATTGTGTGTCCCTTGCAATCTGGATAGCACACATTTAACATGCAGTCATACTCAAAAAACTGTGTAATTTTGAGCACAGGTATGCATATGTGTGCTACCCTGTATGGTGCAAATACATAAGATATTGAGCCTTGAAGTTTCCCTGTTCTGCTCACAGTGTGCCTCAAACCCTCATTCTGCTTTAGTGCAGAGCCAATTTATGCAGAAGGGGAAGGCCAGCAAGAGTGTTGCTTCCTTCCCCAGCAGAGCCAGGATCTATGGTCTGAAATCCAAAGAGGTGCAACTCTTGTTTTGTTGCTGTCTGAAATCTGAGCTCCTTTCTTTAGCTGAATAAGCAGCATTGCACTGAAAACTAGAGAAGCGCAAATCCCATTACATAGCACCCTGAGGCTGGGCTTCATGTTACAGATGTAACATGCTTCTCTCTGCTTGTTCAGAGGAGCTGGGGAGTGCATGGAGGGGCAGGGGGGGAAAGGGATCAGTAAGCATTGTGAAAGAGCCTCTGTGAAGATGAAAGTCTCAACAACCATTTCCCTCAGGAAGCAAAAGATTAAATATTCTATACTACTTGCTAATTAAAAATTCAAACTGTTGCCTTTATGAAAGAGAGGCTTACTTTTATCTTTAAACTCTGAAGTTTTTAAGATTTACTCCTAAACATACTGTCAGGGACTTCTCCCTCTTAGAAAATCCTGATGTTTTTTCAGGTCAAGACTCTTCTATGGAGTAGAGGCCAGGCGTGGGTGTACCCTACTAATTTCAAAGCCTAGGAACAGTGTGGGCTGGCAGCTTGTAAAGGAAGCCACAGCACACCTTTAGAGCCCTCGCCCTCCAAAAGTCATGGTGTTAGATAGGTTTGGCAACAGGCTGCAACTTATTCTCTGAGGTCTACCAAAGGACTCAAGAGCATTCTCCACAGGGAACACAGATGGTGAGAGTTTCAGCATGCTTCACATTGGGGGAATCAGAGACTAGCCAGAGCTGAAATGTAGTTACTACCACAGGAAATTAATTTAAATTAAACACTGCAAACAATACAGTGGGGAAGATTGAGCTGTCAGCCTGCCTTTAGTGGCAGACAATCCTGTGGTCAGGATTGGAGTCCAGTGATCTGTTGCACAGATCCCACCTACAATGAGTTACTTCTGAGTTTATCAGAAGGACAGTATCATCTCTCAGTGATGAATGAGAATCAAAGAAGAAAGAGGAGGGCTATATTAAGTACTAGTAAGAATTTTCTTCTTCAAATAAATGTACACCTGTTGCATGCAACACTACAGTTCAGAAGGTTAGCAGGATTTCTCACCAACAACACACCAGAAAATGCATTTACAAAGTAAATGAACAAGCAACCCAAGAAACTATCAATGTAATTTCTATTATGCTTTGGAATCAGAATAAAATGTATTATACTTTTAAATATGAGGTATCAATTTTTAGAAGGAATACATATTACGTATTAACAATAACTTGAGCTCACAGAGGTGCTTATCCACTTACTTATTTACACACGTCATAAACAAATGTTTAACAAAAATGTATATTCTAGTGTTTCCATGCTACATTATATATATGTATATATACATGCTGTATGTTAATCACATAGATTGCATTATGACTTTATGGCTAATTTATCTCTAATGTTAGCAAAATGTTAACAGAAATTGCTGAAAATCTTTGAGAATTTTCTCCCATAGCTATGCAGAATTTTTGGACATTGTTGCTCACAGCCCTTGGTCTCCCAGACTAGGACACACCACTGTCAGACTAAACTCTGTGCAACCATGTGGGTAGAGATACTGCTACGGTGGGTGCTTAACTCTGGGGTTACCAACAGCATGTGATTATACTCACTTGAGATGGCTGCCCCTGTTGCAGGACCACCACTGACAGCAACTGAAGCATATTAACAACATGTACTTAAGTGCCAAAAGAACACAGATGAGACACAGTGTAAAATAAGGAAATTACCCTTGGCAAAATAAGGAAATTACACAATCACCAAGCTAGTTGAGTACTTGTCTGAGATCAGACAGTGGAGGAAGACGGTCTGTTTGAAACTGAAGTAGTGCTTGTGGCAGAAAGAAACACTAGAAACAACTTGTGAAGTCTAAAGTGGAAAAAAAAAGTCAAGCGGTCAAACTGCAAGCAATTATTTGATTTCAAGAACAGAAATATGCTACCATCGAGTTGGTTAAGAATCAGGAAACTTGCCCTAGAGCAGCAACTGTTGACCTCTCAGGCTCCACAAGGTTATTGTTCTTGTCCACTACACGCTACACTGGCTCTCAAAAGAATAATGCACAAAATGTAAGATTCAGGCCTTTTCCTCACAGTATTTAAGTGTCCAGGACATCCAATAAACTGCCTCACATTGCAGAACTGTAACCATAGTCTTTAGGCATTAAAGAACAGATCTTAACCAGGACAAAACTAGTTCATGTTGGAGGCTGAGCTTCCTCAGAGACTAATTCAGGTAGGACAAACTAAGACCTGTTTACTTTTGAAGATTAATTCCAATTGACCTAGACCTGAATTGGTAGCAAAATCCCCAAAGTTCATTCCACCTCACTTTGGGCCACTGTACTATTTACCCAGGCTCCTTATATAGAAATTACTAAGAGATTATCTTCAGAGAGTGATGCAGGTCACAGGAGAGCTGGGTCATCTTCACAAGATGTTAGAGACCAGTCTCTTTAAAGCAACACATATCACTTTGATAACCGCCTTGCTCAGCTGGTCTGCCCCTCAGTGGCTTTAAGTGGGGTGAAAGGGTGCATGTAGGTATGACCTCAGGTCATATGCTAAGACAAGTGGCATGAGGCATGACACAATTACTGCAGCTGTACAGAACCATGCATCTATCCCAATTTTCTTAGCAGCTGCTTGTGTTTTTTCTAGATGATCATGGCCATGTGATTCTGTATTAGTATGGTGAATTTTATATTGGTGGTCTCCCTGCAGTAAAAACTCCAGATATCTCTCTAAGAAAATTCTGTGCGTTATTCTGCGGTTCTGCAGCCACTGCCCATCTTCCTGGGTATACAGCACAATTCCCCCTTATCAGCTCAGGGATGAAACTACATAGTTACATATATCCTTTAGAGAATAGTCCATTGGCTGCTATACATGCAAAGATTTCCAGTGATGCAAAAGCCAAGCATGTTTTTGATTATGCTCCTTACCTACCAGTTAGCATGAAGCAAGTAAAATGGACTCTTCCATTTGAAGTAAAAACCATGCACATAGAAAAAAATTAAATTATCATGGATTCTTTTTTTTTTTTTTCTGGGTTACTTCATGTGATATATAAGCTTTTAAGATCTTCAGCAATTGTGCCCCCCCCACCACCCCAGTTACTTTCTCGTCTGCCAAACATATACAGCAGAGCACAGTCAAAACAAAAATCAGAAAGTCATCTATGCACATTAAAGTCTTTCTCCTGGCAGAAGAAAACAGAATAGAGATAAAATGCATTATGCATGATTAGTCAACCACACCAAGTCACGTCTGTATGATGCTGAGATACTGTGGTTATAGGAATAGCACAAAAATCTTTATTGACCAGGGTTCCTACAGACTACTAAGACCTTTAAGGAGCATACTTAATGATAAGAGCATAAGAGGGGAGATAGAAGAAGGAGAAGGAGGTGGCTTATCAAAGGGGACACTGGTAAGTGCCTGCCTCTTCATGATTCCTGGCCTCCTAGAGATTCTTGCTACTAACTACTGTTCTCTTCTCAGAAGCAACTCTTTTGCATGCCAACTGTTTCTCTTTCTGTTTGCTCTTCCACGTCTGCGGAAGGAAGAAGGAAAGAAGTGGTCTTGCTGGTGACAACATGCAGTCTATACACTGTCTTCAGAGAAAGACAGAGGATCAGGAACTGTTAGGATGAAAATACCTATGGCAATTCTTTTCAAAGCTGTTCCTCCCACCGTGATAATCATCCAAGTGTAGCTCTTCCCTCTCTGTCTTCCAAGCTGGCTCCTTGGAAGTGACTTTACTTCTTTAGTAAAATGTGCTACAATATTCTACTGCACAGTCCTCATTAATCTTACACATTGCCCTAGTACAACAGAGAGAGAGTAAGCTGTTGTTGAGATAACTGGCTTCCATTAGCAACCATGTGATTGGCAGGACGATAAAGTCTTTCCCCTTGCAGGTCAGCTGCTTTTTAAGAAGAGGGCAATCCTGCTGATCCATCTTTTAGCTACAGTCTCTCACTGAGTCCCAAATCTCCTGCCTTTTAGCTTTGATACGGTTCAAGCTTCCCCCCTTGTATCAGCCTCTACCTGTCATCAGCTCCTCTGTACCAAACAGCCAATATCAGGAGTTTGACCTCAGGGCACAGTCCGGGTGGGCAGGTAAAACCTGACCACTGGACCTACTTCCTTATCTTTCATATCCTGCAATTCATGAAGAAGTATCAAATTCAAACTAAAAAACAGAAGCATGACCTTTTATAAGAACTTTCTGAAAAAGGCTCTGTTGCCTTTCTAAGTATTCTTGAAAAGAACTGTCATCCACCTTATTAAGATAGAAATGGATCACAAATAAGGAAGACAGAGAAAACACTGCAAATCCTTACTAAATGGTAAATGTTTTTAATGTGTGCTTGCAAAACCTTTTGGTGAGGCACAAAAAAAAATAGTAAATAACAAAAAAACCCCAAATATACTAGAACTATTCTACATCTACAAGCTCCAACTGCAACCCAACAAAGAGAGTTGCCCAGACTTCTGCTGTTTATAAAGTATCTGGGATCAATTAGATTCCCATGACGTATAGAGCATCCTTTATAAAGTGTTATTTGCTTCAAGAAAATTCTAAATGTAAGTTGCTAACATAAACTGAGAGCTATCATAAGCAACATAATCCCTATTTATGTGACATGGTCGACAGCTGGTGCTTAAAACATACAAAAATATTATTTATTTCCTGTAGCAAGTATGTACACACCCTGCCCTCCTGCATAGCTGGAAATCATGTTTTTCCTTGAAAAAAACATGGGCTCTACAATGATTTATACCACTTAGGTGGATGACAGAAATGGTGCCAAAATCTCTCAACATCCTTTCCCTTCAACTAAACTGACTTAGTACAAATTGGAAGATGTTTAGTCACTTCTAACATTGATAATAAAAGGAGAATAAAAACTAATCTAAAAGAGGAAGGCTGCTAGTCAAGGCAAGACTTGTGGTATTTGAAGTCTGGCAGAGTACATCTTCATCTTCACATTTTGAATTCTAGAACTCTTAATGTACACGTATCACATGAACAAATCTTATGGCCACAATCCTATATCTTCCTCACGTAGTCCACACTTACTCCATGGTAGATACTGTTCATATTTATATTACTGTGAGAATGTAACAGACAACTCTGTCTTTTAACTTTTCCATTGAAAAATACACTTTAATGAAGTCTTTTTTACAAGGAGAAACTGGAATACTTTTGTCTTGGGAATTTTCCTTTCTGAAATGCCTTTTCATTATTTTGCTGTGAAAAACCTACTGAACTATTAAAAGCAAAAATATTCTTACTATATAGATAATTGGATATGGAATTCTTTCTACATTTCTCTTATTTTCTGATGACTTTGACAAGCTCATAATGGTGCTGAAAAATATCATCAACATCTGCAGAAAGCTAAAGACATAAATCCTTTCTAAAAAGCTTACTTCAATTATGAAGTTTATGAAAGTAAATTGTGATAGGTGGATATAGTGTCTGAATTTACAGAGAGCAAGGGAACAGAAATAACTACATGAAACTAAGACAAGATTTTAGTCTGGAAAAACCTTCCTTTTGGCAAGAAATGTAGAAAAGTCTTTCTGATATTAAGATATTTAAAAATAAATTTTATACAGAAGAAAAGCCATCTAGTTGGAATAAAGCTGCTTTCTAACAATTTAAAAGAATTCTATGTAACAAATTAAAGAAAGGAAATGCTAAATAATATCATGCCCAATTCTGCTCTCCAGGGAGCAGATGAGCAGATGGGAGCAATTGCTCAGAATGGCATAAGGCCAGCACACACCAGGGTAACATGTACACTCTTGCAAAAAGCATCACAGGATCTTTACAAAATTGTCAGGACCAAAATTGAATCTTACATCCAAGTAACAGTACCACCAGTAGCACAGTGCCCCCTAACAACACACTGGAGAAACAGTTTTATGCTAAATTACAGGGAATAGTGCCACTAACAACACTTCAAATGACCACTTTTCAAAACTAATTACACGGGAATGCTAAAACATGAAAGGTTCTTGAATGTAATAACTTCAGCATTGGTCAAAAGGGAAGTAGTAGAATAAAAAACAACAACTAGTATCTTACTTGTCTGAGGTCGATGAAAGCTAACTGCAGGGTGTCTCCCTGGAATCCTGGCACAGGCTCAGAACTAGCAAACACTGCAAGGAAAGGTTAAAAATATTACAGATGCAGATTTCTTTTTTTTTTTTAACCTAACAGAAAAATCAAGTTCTATGCATTATAAATGCTATCTAGCACTAAAATAAAACAAGTTTGACAGAAATAGATTACAACTATTAACCCATGCTGATTAAAAGCAAAAAAAACAAGAAACAACTTTCCTACCATTTTTTCAGATCCAATAATCCCCAAGAATAATATTTCTAGGAGTGTTATTAGAAATTTTGTTTAAAATTCTAATCCACAACCACAGAAGCCAACATCTTTTTTTGGCCTGAGGTGAACAATTACTGAAGAATTTCCAAATAATACCAATTCCATGGCTGTCAGCATATTTTCAAACATCTGCTTCTGTTACAGCATCCGCTCTATAAAAACTCCACCTCTAGCCAAACAGCAATAAAAGACAAACACTAAGTTTAAGGTGTAGACAACAGGTGGAAAGATCTACGTGCCACTGTAAGAGCAGAGCTGAAATGGCTGTTCATGCCTTTTAGCCAGCCTATCAATAATGAACTTCTGCTGGTTTTAAACCCCAAAACAGGCTGTCAACATTGGAAGGGAAACTATATTCAAAATGCAAAAAATGGTAACATTTATGGTCATGAAAAAAGTCAGCTACTAGTCTAAATTAGGAAACAATCAACAACTGTCAAACCTAAAAATAAACATTTTTGTTGTTCTTATCCCAGTCAAATATTTATAATAAAGACACTTACAGAAACTCCCATTGCCTCACATCCCCATTCAAGTTAGACATCTTACTTCAGAAGATTTTAAGATAATTTTTCTTATGCTCTTCAGTTAAGAGCTCTTAACAAAACAAAATAGATACTACTGTAATAGTTTTAATCTGAGGTAGTGAAAGGTAACATTTTTTCCCAAATTTGAGAAACACATCATTCAGTAGTAGAGACAATAAAACCCATATGTATCAAAACATTTCCAGATCCAGTGCTCAAATAGTGTGCCACATGAACTCCTACTAAAGTTTAAAAAAATGTGAAATGGTTAATAGATTTTTTTTTAATAGCTAGTTAGAAAATTTTGGATCATCATGTGAAAGTAAGATCCAGAAAGACATTGGTGTCCAAGCTAACATGATGGGAAAATAATGAGTTCAGTCATTTACTTCTGAATGTATGGTTTCAACTTAAAGCAGTCTAATGAATTCATATAAACTATTCACAAGTCTAAAAATGGTTATGTGGAATGCAAGCTAAATGAAAATAATAAAGATCCTTATTTAAGTACAAGAAGCTACTAAAATAATCTCAGAATATCTAAGAATATCTTAGAAATAGATTAATACAGGATCAGAGTAGCAGCTTTACCAGTAGAGGTAGAATTCATTACTTGTATTATAGTAGTGCAAAATTACTTGTATTATAGTAGTGCAAAATCTTTTAGGGACAGTCATGTAATAGGAGAATGAATTAAACTGGAATATGACTTGATTCGTCATCAACTAAAGGAATAAAAAATAGCAATCAAATGCCCTAGGGAGAACACTTGTAATGTCACAGACAAGTATCAGTAACAGTTGTCAAATGCTCACCAGTTACTGTATTTAAGTCTGCATTTTAAATTGTCTGGTTTTCCTACTTCATAAATAACACCAACTTTCTAGGGGAGTTTCTAGGGAGTTTCAATCTGTCACAAAGATGCTTTTCAAATAAAAAAGAAGAAAGACAAAAAATAGTAGAAAAAGCATTTCCTAAACCCAGCATGTTATAGAGTTTGCTTAATAATAAACTCTTCAAAAGCAGCAAAGAGAAAACAGTCTGTACAACCACCAACCTGAGAACAGATCTCCAGGCCTACGAAAGCAGCTTTCTGAACACCCTAGTCTAAAAGACTAGGTGTCTCCATGGCTGCAGGCATTTCATGGCCACTGGGACCACCCTTTCTTCGGGGACAGACAGGCCTATGATCCTGGCCCCTGCAGTCAGCCAAACATAGTATCTAAAATGGGAACACTGTGCAATATCAGGGAATTCTCAGCAATGCCCCGTAGCAAACAGCTAAGAAGAGATACATGGGTTGTGAGCTATGGCAACACGCTAGTAAGGAGGATAAGCGTGATGGTCAGGAGTCTTTTTTACATCCCTTAAACAAGGAAGGAGAACGTGTACTATTCTTGAAAGATAAGGCCCATCTGTATCTGATCCTGTATAACTCTGTTCATACACAGCACACTGAGATCAGCTTCCCCCACTAGAATCCGAGCTCCTCCAGCCACTCCACAATGGCAGTACTGGGAGAGGGACGCTCTAAGGCAAAGCAATGGCTACAGAACTGAAAAGTGAATATAGGGAAGAGTGTGACCTGCAGCAAAACTTTTCAGTTAGCTATTGGCACTTTATACTTTGGGAGGTACCCTTCTATAGTGCGATACTTTTACTTGCCACAGGGCAAATATTTGCCTCCTTTCTGTAGCTCATCAGGCTAACATAGTTTGGAATTTATCCCAACTCATTAAATAATGTGGTATGATTTAGTTTCTCTACATAGTACCTACTACCACTGAAGCTATACAACAAGAAGAGCACAGGATACCAAACTTAATTATTGTATATGCTTTATATACAATACTGTAGCTACAATTTTATATTATAAATGTTTTTACAACACTAAGGACACACATTATAGCACAAGCATTTATTCTCACATTTGGGTCATTTTTAACAGGTTACTACAGTAGAATTTGTTTCATTATTACAATGTAATGAGTTCAAAGGGCAAAAAGATAATCTACTTATGGTAACGGTCAGACAGTTCCCCCCTGCCTTCAGCTCAGGGCTTTTAAGTTTTGGCAACAATTTTACAAAGCTAATTAAATATTTATTTTCTTCTGCACAGCATTTTAGGAAGATGTTATAAGAACAGGATTAACATTCTTAACATCTTTGTCCTAAGGGTCCTTTTCCAGGTAGTAATGAAACATTGTCATATATACATATTTTAAAATACTCACCCTTCTATTAATTCTAGGCTTAAAGAGGATTTGGAGGAATAGAAGGCTGCTTGGTTGTTTTAGCGTACATAAGAGCATTCAAGAATTTTATACGAGAGAGTTAAAATGCAAAGATCACCATTAAACTGTCACATATAGGGGCAGAAAACTAACAGCTTGGCAGTTCAAAACAGAAACATTAATGGTTTTGGGAAAATAAGCTGAAAATATGGATTATATGAATCTGATATTCACAAGGCTTTTGTTAACATCTATTTTCCCCGCACTTTGCTGATACTGCGTAGACCTTTTCTGTGCATATAGAACGAGATCTTTGTCACAATGTGTGTTCACAATATGTACAATTGCAACATACTTCCTACAACAGCCAGTTTGGGAATTTACAGGAGGTAGGATCTAAAAAAAAAAGTATGTAGGAATACAAATCAGGCTGGGAGGTAACGTATACGCGAGAATAGTAAATTCAAATATTGTAAACATGACTTCAGTCCATTTTCTTTTGTGTACTTTGCACTGATATTTTCATTACATTTTGTATACGGGATATATGTGAATTGATGTATATAAGTGCTAATGGCTATCTTAAGAAAAAGGCCATGTCTGCTAAAATGGAATTTAAGACATCTGTAACTGTAAATTGTAGTGGATTTCTATACACTTCTAGGTTTATTAACAGGTCTCTTGATTTTTTTCTCTCAAAACCCCATCTTTTATCCATCATTTGTGTGTGCTTCTCTGTTGGTCTGACAAAGTTTTGCTGCTCAATGGCAGAAATTACAAACCAGAGTCCAGACCTCGAATCAAATGCTAAATTAGCATTTAGCATTAGTTTCACTTCTGCCTCATAGTATTGATTCAGAGGCAGGACAGCAGAACTACAAATTTACTTTTAAAGGAAGAGCAGAGAATCAGGTGACTCTCAGCAGCCAGCAGCCACTTTGCAGCCCTCCTGGATGCTCCAGCTGTTCAAACACGCCTGGAGGGGAGCCTCCCCGAGGGAGCTGCCAGCTGGACGGGCAGCAGCCCCCAGCCCTGCCCCCAGCACCGGCCAGATCTCGCTGCTTCCCCTCACTCCCATGCTGCCATATGTGACTGCCAGATGAAGGATGGTCTCATGCGAGCTAAGTTAACCTGACTTCCCATATGGGAGGGGAGGCAGGTAAAGTGAGGGGCCTCCAGAGGAGAATATTCTGCCTTTTCAAAGAAAAAAAGAATTTGGGTTCCTCTGCTTCTGGCATGCCCATCTGGAGATCACCTTTGTGTATGCTTAACAGAGAGCACCTGGGCCAAGATATCTCTTGCTCTTGGATACTGTAGCTATTCACAGACTGGGTGAAAAAGGAGGGATGGGCAGGAAGCCCGGCATAGGGCTGGTTAGGAAGGTATAGCGCATCCTGCTTTGCGCTAATTCTCCGCTAACACATGCCCATTTATAGGCAGGACCCAAAACCTTTTCATCCTTGCACAGATTCATGTCTGGATGAAGAAGGATGCCTACTCAATCATACCACCTTCTGCCAATTAATCCTGTCTCACAATTCAGCTATATTAAAACACATAAATGATAAAAATTATTGATAACTTTTCCAGCAATTAGAATTTCTGACAAATTCTAATTCCTTACTGAAATGCTGATGTAAGGTATCTAGATCTGGGTGGTGTCTCTGAAAAGATCATTTTCTATTATGCACACTTTGCTTTTCATAAAGTGAAATACAGCAACCCACACTTCAATTTCATTCTTGAAAAACTGCAAATGCCTCTCGTCCCCTCCCCAACCCATTTCCCTCCTCAGCAGATTGAAATGCAATGTTCAAGCTGAAGACACTTCTTTGGGTTTTATTCAGTGGGACCTAGTCCGTTCTATTTTTTCTGAATACTGTTGTAAGAATCCAAATCATCCTAGTGGAAGATCACCACTGAGAAAGAATAGTATAAAATACAGAGGTAAAACAATCCCCTAAGTTACCAAATATATAGAGAGAGTGGAGAAATACTTCAATTAGAACAGGACAAATGGAAATAAAACTGAAAGCTTTTGGAATGTTTGGAAGGAAAACAAAAAACTTAATAGAAGCAGAGCAAGAAGATCATAATCTTTTTTTTTTTTTTTTTAATAATCATCAGAGAAGATCACCTGATACTATTACTATTCTCAAGAAAAAGGATCAAATACTTCTGGATTTTGTGCTCTGCTTTTTAAAGTTAGGTACTTTGCATAAAAATGTAGTGCAGGAAAGTAAAATCCTAGAGTTCACCACAAGATCACCTCCTTCCTTTCTACCTTCCTTTCTTGGAAAACCACTTATCATTCTACTTATTTTCTGTGACTGAGAACTTCAGCACTTACTGAATATAACAGATTGCTGCTCATTAACAGATTGTAGGACTGCTCATTGCTTTTTAATAGAAAAGAAAAAATCACATTTTCCTGCTTTTATTTAGATCTCCTCCAGTTAATCTCAGAAAGAATAAAAATGTAATGTTAAAGATGAGAATAAATACCTAGAATATTTCCAAGAATTTTAGAAAAATGTATCTTCAGATATTCATAACTTTCTACATCTCACATAACTTCTTAGTTCAAAACACATCTGAGTATACTCCACTGTGTCTATAAGTAAAATGTCAAACCCATGTATACAATACAGTAGGAAACTACCCAACAGTTGTGACTTACTCAACACTCTAAGCACTAATTGAAATGTCACTGTTGTATCCATTAATCCCAAAGTGCCAAAGAATAAAGCTGGGGGAGGGTGATGAGCGAGAACATAAATCACAGGCATCACAGTCAGGCCTGGAATGTGCCTGTGATGGACCTTATGAATGAAATCACAACGGGGTTGCAGTCTGAGCAAAATCTTGCGTCCATCCCTTATTCCACAGACTGTAAAATGTCATCTGTTGCAACGTACTATTCTGACAAGCTTCCATAACTAAACTACTCAAAGGGTTTCTGTGCAAAACCAATTTTTTCTAACATGGTTTAAAAGCTTTGCAGAAAGGAAGAATTAAAGCTTATTCTATTTGCATCTATACAGCCCACGCTAGAAGTTATGCAGTGGTGGAAGGAATGCAGTTTTCAGTCTTTAAGTTACTAGTTTCCTGAAACTTTCTAATTTTGGCCCAAGGTTTTCCATGTCCTGTCTATGCCATGTCTCAGTATAACAGCTACATATAACAAAACATGTTGTTTTAAGATTATATTTTTATCTTAAAATAATGAAAAGTTATAAAGTTAGATTAAAGAAAACTTTACTAAGATCTCCTCACTGATTGAAGTTTCCACTGTGCAGCAACCAAAGATGGTAGAAAGGGTGGTAAAAAAAAATGGGATGGTACATAACAGGGCAAAGGCTGAGAAGAAAAAAGTCTGAAAACAACCCAGAGATGAGATGACAGCCGGACTTGTTCGGACTTCTCATTACTTTGCTGGGAACATACTGTTCATACTGTGAAAGTCACCTGCAAGACATGCATTTTATCCCCTGTACTGCTAGAAATCTGCAAGTGAAACAGTGAACTGGTTAATCTATCCAGAGTAGTGAAGTACTGCTTTGTTCAGAGATTATATTTTAAATATCAGAAACAGAGTAATACAGTAGTGGGCAAGCTTTCTTCACTGTTACACTGTTTGTTCAGAAGGCAGATGACTATGTAATGGGTGTCCCAATTCACTTTGTCTAGATGAATGATTATGGTGTCTGTATTATGAACACTATGGAATTTCTCTTTTTACAACTGGGATCTTTTTTACATCTAAGAAAATACACAAATGCACGTACACATACTCCTACCCACCTACCTGAAAAGAACACTACTAAATTTGCAATATCAAGCCAATTACTAAAACTAAAAAAAAAAGTTAAACCATCATCTGTTTGTCCAACTTGTGCAATCATGAGACAAACTTTAATGTCATGATCCCAAATATTTTTTCCATCAGACCCTGATAATCCTATCAGTTCATTCCACACACTGAAAGACCTTAAGGCTGTATAACGAAGGTCCGTCAGAAAGATGCCTGCTCTACCTATTACAGAGTTTAGCTGGAATGTACCAAATAAGGCAGGAGAAGGAAAGACAAGTGTATGGTTAAAATGCCAAAAATGACACTTAACGCTGTCCCTGGACTCCCACAAGAACCCTTTGTGATGCTAACAAAACTGCTTGAAGTCGAATTTCCAGTTTCCCATAGGTGGCTAATTGTTTTTGTGTCCAAACTAAAAACTTCAGGATATGACTTGCAGAACTACCCCATTTTACAACTGTCACCAAATCATGGAGATCCCTGTTTCAAACATGTAAAAGGAAAGATACTTTTCAAAAAACAGAACATAATAATCTAAAAATATGCATTAAAAAAAATGCTACTGAGCCTTTTCACTGTATCTCAGTCATGAACCATAAAATCAGACTTAAAACCAATTCATAATACAATGATGTCCGGGAAGTAACTTTCTTCATACAGATTCTCCATGCAAAACATGAGGAAATTAATCCTGCCTTCAGTGCTGGACTAAACCAGTTCTACAAACTAATTCTGATACCATATTTTGAACAGTGAGAAAAAAACAACATCTGATGTTTACTAAATGAGTACTGCTATTTTGCACAGTGGCAGTAATAATTCTATCCATGTAACAGCACATTTAAAATTTCTATAATAATAAATAAATTCAAGAGGGAAATTAAAATTTTACAGGCATGTGACTTTTTTTTCCTCAACTATAAAAGCATAGTATTTATGTAGTGGGTTTCATCAATTTTGTACTAGTCTATAGTTTTTTTACTGGATATAGCAATTACGATCCCATTAGGGCTAACACCAGATGTACATTTCAATTGGATACTTGAGTTAAAAAAAGTTTCATAAAATAATTTCCCAGAAATGTTAACATACTTACTCATAAATATTTTTACAAGTAGCTGTACTATATTTTTTTGTTTGTTTGTTTAAAAGACAAAGCTTTAGTAGATTACGGGAAAACATTACTATATGGCTTAAAGAATTTTTTTGCAATGTTAAGACAGATATATATAGGAATACTGGAACATCTACTTACGTTCACATTGTATCACATCTAAATTAAACTGCTGAATTGCTCCCATGCTTATTTGTTTTAATTCACTGTCCAGTAGCATCTGCATTAGGGATGTTGAAAGATGCTGGCAGGATGACATGCATGCTGTCTGGGCCACTTTTCCCTAGTAGAAAGAGCAACAAGTTTTAAGGTAAAAACAAATGTTATGTCACTAAAGAACTGCTTATCTGTTTGGTTTTAATATACCCTTGTAGTCTTAATGATGCAGGACTTAGATTAGAAGAAGAAAGATCACACTTGCTATTATTTCTTTGACCTGTTAGCTTTGTTTATATTAAATCAATTGGAAAACTAAACTAAATATATCTTGAAGCAATATTGATATTTCTTCCAGATATTCAACAGTCTTCATTAATACAAAGACATTTCCAAAATAATAACAGCATAAGTTGCTGAAGTACATGAACAGTTTTGCAGGTTTGTTTTTTTTTTTAACCAAACAGAATAAAAGCAAGAATGCAATGAAAATCAACGTGCTGCATATTTTTAACAATAGCCAGTAAAAAGCTCTGAACTTTATATAAACCAAACTCATTGCTTTCAGTCAGGGCATTTCTAATAACAGCTTGTGCTAATTATTGGCACTTTAATTGCTTGTATTCCATCTCAAAGCATGTTGCTAAATTATTTAAAATATTCATGCCTATCCATCATCTTTTCAGGTGCTTAATAAATCAGTGCTGTCAGTAATCAACTAGTTACAAAATGAAATGTAGCCCTCTGCTGTACAAAATAGAAATAATTTTCCAATCAGTCTTGTTAGCAACATTTCTTCTTATGATGTGTATGTAATGGAAATGAATAATTTTCCAAACATGAGACAAAAAAAAAAAAAAGGCCCAAAAATCAGACATCAACTTGATAAATTACTAAAAATTTAGTAAAGAAAAATTGAAAGATATGGAAATTCTACCTTAGAACTAAAAAAACCCAATTAAGCTCAGATACCCGATCAGATGGCACCATTCCATTCATAGCACTGCAATCTTTTAGAGCAGAGCAATCCTGGCTTTCAAATGCAATTATGTGAGTCTCTGTGGTTTAACGTACCTAGACCACGCTTTTCAACTGACGCCTAAGTCACAACACATATTGAAACAAAGGTAACTATTAACATGCTTACACGAAAGAAATCGTAATTATGTAATATACCTACTGGAGCACACACCACTACCGTTTTACTCATATCCATCAGCAAAGTGATGACACATATTCTCTAAAGCAATGGTTCCCCAGCTGTTTTCTGCAAAGTCAGGTTGATTAATTTACTGCTGACTCACAGAAACACGTACAAGCAATGAAAAATTATAAGGATAGACAGCAGTTCACTGTTCCAAAAAGTTTGGAAAGTTCTGCTCCAACATCTGAAGAGCCAGATCTTGTCCTTGATAAGACCACTTGGTCTTATCATTGAATCCTCATGTATACATGTAACAGAAAGCAAATTTGGCCCTAAATATTTTGTACTTTAAAAATCCATTCTTTGTTAAAACATAATTAAAATGTAGACAATACAATGGAAAGCGTTCACTCTCCTCACACTGAAACATTAAATGGCTTTTGCTAATACCTCTTTAGCATTAGGATACTTTGAACTGTTAGGAGCTTTATATCTAAAATGAGATGTCAGTTTCTTAATTGAAAATCTCAGAAAAGCAAATAACATTTTTGACCAAAACAGATGAACTGACAACTAGGAATGTAAGAAACAATGCAAGAACAGCATGCTTAGAAGTCTCCCAAACTCAATGGTAATTACACTGGGAGACATGCAGCTCTATTCCCCAAGCAGAACAATATCAATATGAATGGAAAAAAAAAAAGAAAAGAGGAAGAAAAGGGGGAAAAAAGAAGGAAAATAGGAGGTGAGAAGGGGAATCAATGGGCCACAGTTCATTTAATTACAGAATAGTAGGTTTGAAATACTTAATGGAAATGTCATTTTGATTTAATGGAACAACTAGTGCATCTCTGTTTAATGTACCGCTCCATCAAATCAGCTCCATGTCCTATTTAAGCTGCCACTATAATGTAATAAAAGTTCAAGCAGATTAATAGGTTGTCAAGAAAAAAATTAACATTCAATTTCTTTTATATGCAAACAATGTGTAGTCTTCTATTATTTTAAATAAAAGACAGAATTTTATACTTCTGACAAGCATCTGTACTTAAATGCTACAATCTGGCAAATATCAATAGCACTGGAGCACAAGATAATGGTTACAATACAGAAATGACATGGTAAAAGCCACTTGGACTTTAAATAATTATCAATACATGTACACTTAATGCTTATTTTAAAATTTCATAAAATGGAAATAACCTAACATTTAAATAATTTCCAACTATGTAACTTGAACTACAGGCTTATTGTTCACACAACAGATCACCAAATAATAGAAGGTTACTATACACAGTTTATACTTACTCAGTACAATCACTCAATTTTCTTATATCTAGAGAAAAAATGAAGCTACGTATATCAATCAAAATGCTGAATTTTAACTGAGAGAAATGTGAACTTTACCGTTATCCTCTTCAAAATTCAGTGCTTCCAGGTCAAAATACACTGGATGTACGATAGTCAGAAAAGAATTAAATTAAAATTTGTGTTTGACAAATGCGATCTCATTAAAAATCTCTCTCCAAATTTCCATCATCCACCAATTAATCAATTTCTTGTCATTTTTTCATAATGCATTTTGAAGAGGAAATGTAAGGATTCGTGAACATAACAATAACACGTTTCTTTTCCAGAATTAAACAAATCTCCGTTAGTTTTAAAACATTCTTAATGTTTATCGTTTGTCAGTTTGTTGGGGTTTCTTTTAACTTACTATTATTATTTTTTAAGGGGGGGGGTGGCTGTGGTTAATGTATTTAGCAATTAAATACCTATATTCAAGAGCATGCAGAGATTCAGCAGGCTTCTCACATTCGTTCCAGTTGCCTTCCATTTGGAGACACCACTATTATCTCTGCTATGCCTATGCTAATTGCTGCTATCTACAAAACCTATTCTTCCACTCAACCAATGTAAAGTTTAAGAAACAAGGACCCTATTCTATAAGCAAAAACACCTGCTAACAGTGTTAAAGAAAACTGTTTTTTCACCCAGCCTTCACATTTTGCTGAAATACAAGTTTGTAAAAAGAGAAAACCCTTAGACAAACTTCTTATATTTCAAAGGAGCTTGGAAAGAGAATCTGCTGACATATTAAATCCTTTTTTATAGGACCCAAAAGCTTTTCTCCCAAGAACAATTGCAGTAAAGAGACATTTGGCTCCTAGGAAATTCCCAAAGGGTCAGCCATATGCATCCTTCCACGGCACCTTGGCAGTACTGCTTTCTAAGACCCATGCTAGCTGTCTCTAAAGCAGCTTTCATCATTCACTGTGGTGTCAGTCAATATGATTTATGGACTGCATTCAACAAAGTCAAAGCATATAGAATGAGAAATATGACTACAATCTGCTAATTTGTTTTGTATTGAGCCACTTAGGAGTCAAAGACCTGATGTCAGGCTGAGACCAGCAACACAATTAACCAGCCAGTGACAGATTCATCCATCCTCCCTGCCAGGCTGTGCCAATCAAAGACAGCATGAAGCGGCATTTGGAGAAATCAGTAAGAAAACCCATTCTCTAAGTAGCCTGTGGAGGCTGTTGATTGACAGTTTTTAAATATAGCTGCAGAAACCCACCACCCCTTCACCCTCACTGCAAGCTGTGAATTAGGCTCCTGCTGCCAATCAGAGAAACAATAAAATAACACAAACTGCCATCCTCAGCATAAAAGGAAATAACAAAACTTATTTGTTAAATCTAAGAAGTTAAGCTGAAGAATTTAACAATATGAAATGACACAATGAAAAACTTTCTGAAAATGCAAAGAAACTAAACATACAGACTTTATCAGTCATAAAAATTACAGCATGGTACTAACATCAGGACTAAAATCCAATTTTTGAACTACTGACAAAAAACAAGTATATTAAAAAACACTGATAGAATTTTTAAGACTCAGTTTTACTCCCAGTAGCTGCCCCAAATTCTACTGAAAATATTCAAATACCTACTTGAAAGTAATTTGTAACTTTTACTTTTCAACGGTAATTTTTTTCCAAAGAGTTGTCCAATACTAACTTTGTACTGACAAAACACACATCTAGAATAAAACTTCAGCTAATCCTAAACTTTGATTAAAAACACTTTTAGACACAACCTCCATAATTGCAAATTAACTGATCTGAAAATAAAAGGTATGATTTCTCTTTAACTGTTCAAAATAAAAACTAAAAAATGCAGGTCCTTAACAAATTTGATCATCCAGTTGATTCCATGAGATTAATGGTTGTATAATGATATTTCAATTTGCTTTTTGATTCAAAGTATCTAGTGGCACTATAAGCTGCAATGTGAACTTGTGAAATGGGATGTAAAAGAACGTGATAACAGCAATAATTTCAAAAGACTAAATTCTTGTGACTTTAGAAAACAGAACCGTTAAAAGCTGCCTGAACTTCCAAAAGCAACACAGCCTCTGTGCTCTGCATCACTGAAATTTTGCTAGTGCTTGGTCATAACATAACCAGCACACTGACACCTATTCAATAGTAACAGGAAATATTTCTACACAAAATATTCTATATTCCTAGTGCTCAAGACACCTATTAGCTTGATAGATCAACATGAGACTTAGTATTCAAATCATAGAAATGTTAATTGGAATGAACCACCAATGTCATCTAGTCCAGCCTCCTACTTAATGTAGGACTATTGCCAACACTATTTCAGATCCGTTATCCTTTTGTCTGGCTGAGCCTTCAAAATGACCGAGGATGAGAATTCCACAGCCTGGGTAACCTCCTCCAACACTGCACTCTCCTCATGCAAGCTTTTTCCCTAATGTCAAAGCTTCATCTCCCAAGCTTCTACCTGTGACCATAGCCATATGTGAATTTTTCAGCTCTACCAAGAAGAGTTTGGCTCCACCACCTTTGTATCTGTCCTTCAAGATGCTGTATGCTGCTGCTACGTCTCTCCCCAGCCTTCTCTTTAACAGACTAAAAAATTTACCTCCCTAAACCTCCATTTGTAACT